AGGTTTCTAGTGATTTAGCCTTAACATATACTAGTCTGCACATGAAAAAGCGGTGTTAATAATCCGCTTCTAAACCTTCTAGAAGACTCAAAAGGGATTAAAATTCAATATCTGAAATTGTGGAGACACCGAGCATCCTTCGATCTACTGGGTCACGTGTGTATCGACATACTAACATGGATATGTCAGTATCCTCCGCAGGTCATTAAGTATAATTAAGTTGTCCAGTTACAATGGGTAAAAGACAAGGAATACTCAAACAGAACAAGCAAATCCAATATATAAAAAAGTAGGCACTTATCTAGTAAGTCATTTCAGAAATCTTTGGTTTTCATAATATATATGAAAAGGTGTCGCTTTTAAAAGGTCAACACCGGACACAGCGTATCTCCTGGCTTCTTGTCATCGCTACCTGGACCCTGGAGATAGGCATACTTGTTCTGAAGATTAATGTTTCCAACTGATTCGGGCAAATAAGAGTCTTTGCATGTGTCGCACACCACATGATGTCATATACTGCGTTATTATCAACGAACTGTTCAATCTATTGCTGGTTTTGTATTAGTAAGCAACGTGTTCATGTGGTACAGGTTAGATGCATCTACATTTTATTGCTTGTTAACCAGTAGCACTTACAAATCGCCTATATGAAACCAAAAATTGTTGGTTTATTCCAGCTGTAATGTACACCGTGTCATCAGGTACAAGTTGCAGAAAATCGGTTTAAATAGCACACTGGAGATTCCAGATAAATGGCGCGGCCACCAAGTTCGCTCGACACGAGCCCATTTGTAGAGAATCCTGTTTACATTCAGATTTCTGCAGTTAATGCTATGAGAGAATTGTGGAGATGTAAATGGACTGCATGGTGCAACATCACACTAAATGTTTTACGTGTACTTGTCGAATTAAGGTTATAATGAGTTGCTGCACTTCATCATGACTTTACTACGCCACTGTGTTTTATAATATTTAGAACACCTGAAAATGATTATATTTAATTTTGTTAAATAATTAAGCCGATTGCGTTAACAATAAAGAATTAAAAAAAAAAAGAAAATTGGAGCTATTTATTACGTTGAATTTATAAGTAAATTTTAATTTTTTGGATTTTACACACGCGCGAGTAGAGTAGAACGGTGTAATGCTTAATGCATCATAAGGCTTCTATTTGTTCTGAAGAAAAAGCAATGTAAAATAAATATAATTATTTTTTGTTATCATTATCATTATCTTTGTATCTCTGGTGTATCATTAATCGGCTAAATGTGGAATTTATTTACTCTCATATATATATATATATATATATATATATATATATATATATATATATATATATATATACGAGAAAAGTTATATATAAAAAAAAGAGAGAAACCACAAAAGTTTTTTGGCTATAATGTGGATTTAAAAAAAAAATATGTTCCATGTTTTATTTTCAATACTTGTGTTTATTATATATATATATATATATATATATATATATATATATATATATATATATATATATGGATATATATATATATATATATATATATATATATAAATGTGTGTGCATTTTATTGACATACATTCCATTAGACATAAAAAGATATAAGATGTACACAATGAGGATATATATATATATATATATATATATATATATATATATATATATATATATATATATATATATAAAGAAATATAGTCTTAAGGTATGCTATATTTATGGAATAAAAGTGCTCAATATCAGAGATAGAGCTTGTAAAATATAAAAGTGAACATAGAAGTCAACACTTAGAGGCGACAGTCTGTTTCATATATATGAAATCGTCATGACCTGTCGATTGCATGTTGACTTTATGTTCACTTTTATATATATATATATATATATATATATATATATATATAATGAGGATATATATATATATATATATATATATATATATATATATATATATATATATATATATGAGGATATATATATATATATATATATATATATATATATATATATATATATATATATATATATATATATATATATATATATATATATATATATATATATATATATATATATATATCCTCATTGTGTACATCTTATATCTTTGCGTCTAATGGAATGTATGTCAATAAATATTTATGGGTAAGCACATATCTAAGAATTAAAATATTACTCTAGGTTCGACTCAGAAAGCTTGTACAACAAATGTGACATGAATAGATTTATCGAACCTATTGACAATTTAGTATAAATTCCATTACAAATTATTGATTAAATATAATATTGTTGTTTGTTGTTTGTTATATGCTTCTCCAGTCTACTCTTGTAATGCTTATTTTACAATATTTATTTTTTTAATCATTTTGACATATAATTTTGAATATTTAAAAGTTTTATTCATTTAACATATAAATGAAAATCTATAAATTAATATATATTTCTCCTCATAATCCAATTTACAATATTCTAAAGTTCCTATCTTTATATGTCCATGTGCGCAAGATCTTTTCTCATACAACAAGTGCGTTGTTAATGGATATATGTTTGTGGGTGTTTGTGGGTGTTTGTATTTGTGCGTGTGAATCGTGATATTCTTCATTGATTTCTCGCATTTAATTATTGCCGAATATCATACGAAGAACGTAAGCTCAAAAGGGGTACAGATTATTTTAAATATACTGAGTTAAGTGAAAAAATTCGAAAGCTGCGAAAACATTGAACTGAAATCACAAATTTACACGTTAAATGGACAATTACTAAAACACAGATAAGAAAATCAATCTTTAAGAATGACGCAAAACAAGTTAGGGAAAGTTAAAATCATACGCCAAAGAAGATTCGATTGAGTAACAAGAATTTTGGAGAATCCGACGCAGAGGATATAAAACATAAAATTATGCAGATTATTAAGAACATTTGTTGAAGACATGAATAGAATCAGACTACCAACATTAAGTTCCTACCACAAGGAAAATGTGAACTCAAAAATGCAACCTACAAGCCGACAGCTTCGACGTGAAGTAATATTCACCTCTACTGTTATAGTTATTAAGATAATAAATCCGATAAGAATCGATAATCATTTCAACATAAATTCAGATAATTTTGAAACTTCTTAAACTCAAAGACTTTTACTGATACAGGTCGCAATCCCGAATGTTTAGATTTTATTCTGATGTCTAGTATATATATATATATATATATATATATATATATATATATATATATATATATATATATATATATATATATATATATATATGAAAATCTCTCCGATTTAACCAGCAGACAAGACAATATTTATGAATAAAAATGACAATAGGAAAACGGGTAATTGCTGTCATTTTTATTCATATATATATATATATATATATATATATATATATATATATATATATGCAGATTATACCACATCTTATTAGAGTACCACTTAAAATTTAGAACAAACAATTCTGTCTAGTCACAAATCTGTCTTTGCAAAAGCAGTTCACAGCTTGAGAATTAGATTGATACAATAAATTAGACTAAATATATAATATTGTTCTTGCATCTTGGGTGGAACTGACGAATCTCCGCTTTTTAGTCTCGACTGCATTTTAACAAATGTTTTAATGGATCATTATTTCCACCTTTTAATTTCTTTACGAAAATTTTAATGGCTGAAAATAAGGCAAACGATATTATATGCTTCCACCAAACCAAGCCTACACGACTCAATGCCACCTACACTGAGTCGACTCAAATTCCTTATCTTCATATTCCATTCGTAAGGAATCAGTTCCAGTAACAAATCTTCTTTCCCAATATGGAACGTACTACAGAACGTGTTTTTACCCGATCACGACAAACAAGTCGACGTTCCTGCGTTATCTATCCTACATATCCGCACGATTTGCAAACATTTCTTGCTCTATTTATAGAATTACAGCATCCCTAGCATTAATGGTACTTTTTAGTAAAAGCACAATATTTTACAATTTGCTTCTTCCCATCATGCACGGCTGAAAATTACTCACCATGCCAAAAGGTTTTCGAATAAAATAATTTAATTAAATGTTCTACGCTACGACAGAAATTAATTCGCTAAAATTGGAGGGAATTATCAAAAAAAGATGTAGATAAGCAGGGAAATTATTCAAGACACTGGAACAAAGAAGGTAATATTTATGCACTGAATGATTTCAGTACAAAGCTATATACATGTAGAATGTATCTTTTATAAATCATGCAACAGATATTGATAATATCCGGCACAAAGAACTATTTTAACTGCAGGATAAGCTTGATTTATTTGATGAATTTAATAGAATAATTCATCAATGACACTGAGATGAAGCCACCTACATATAGGTTGAAAATCTATTCAATAAATGCACAAAAATAGAATTGGTTCGTAAACCATGAGCCGTCGATTCTTAACTGTCCGTTCGAAATGAAACAAAAACAATGAATCTCGCCCACCCAGCAGAGAAGCGTAACTGGCCGTGACTCACGATGAAAGGCTTCAAGTTATTAATTGGTAAATTTGAGCTGTGGATTCTGAAGGCATCTTATGGTCCCAAGTTAAGTGGAAGCTCTGTCGGAGTTAGCGTTCACAGATCACGAAATTCACCTCACTATTTATGACGAAGGCGTGCGGACACCTCGATCCGATATTAAAGCCGGTTTTCATAATAGCCTCTCTTCCACGATAAGCACGAGGTGTGAGTTGTTCTTGTGAATTTGATTTCCCGCATCATTTCCGATAACGCATAACTGTTGTCGCTCACATAATACGCCTTATTGGCGTCGCTTTCTTTCCTTTCTTTTCCGACGTTCACTCTACTCACCACTCTTTGTATTTATATTGCACAGCTTGCTTCCCTCTTTCGATTTGCCTATCTTTTTCTCCCACAATCCGCTTGCAACCGGCCTACACCCAACGTTTGCATAACGACCGCTGTCAATACTAACTTATGATGAAACGGCTGCTCAGCGCTGATCTTTAATTATGTCAGCCTGTATTAGTGAGAAGATGTACAATGAAGTTGATATACGATCAGAGAACGTTTATGTGCAAGTCGATTCTCTTGGACCAGTTGATTCCTTCTTAAAGCTCACGAATATATGCAAACACGTATTCCTTTCAAACTTACACTATATTTATAAGTCTGTCAGAATCGTATCTTCCTACCTATACATCGACCTACGCACGTAGCAATCTACCTAGATGTCACGTTCTGTCGATATTGTAGGACAATTTGTTTATTGTTATAAATATGTTATACTGTTACTTTGAAAACGGTTTCTCTTTTTTCACCTAATCCTATTTATTAATAACATGTAGCAAGCATAGTTGACAAATAATGTAAGTGAAATATAAACGACGGGGAAACTTATATTTACAATCAGAAAGATATATATTTCGGGGAAAAATAACTGTTTTAAAAAGGACATTTATAAATTTTGCAATGTTATAACAGTGAATGTAATAGCGGTTGATTTCCGTGTAAAATGCTATATCTATCTATCTATCTATCTATCTATCTTCAAACACACAGACACACACACACACAAACACACAACCACGCACACATACAAACACAAATAGGGACACACACACAAGCATACACACACACACACAAATACATACATAAGATTTAAGAAACAGCAGATAATTTTTATACATATATATATATTAAATATCAATTTTAGATGTTACTTAGAAAAAAATTCAAAAATGATATTTAAAACTTAAGTAATCATTTCATATTATATATCTATATATATATATATCTATATATCTATATATATATATATATATATATATATATTATATGAAATGACTACTTGAGTTTAATCTCAGTTTGGGTTAGTATATATATATATATATATATATATATATATATATATATATATATATAATATTTCTGCATATATGTAGAATATTCCTGACAATATATTATCTGAATATTTTATATTTAACAAAACACCGACATGTGTATGGTATTTGAGAACACATCTTTTGGAAGATGTAAATGGAAAATAAATTGACTGACTTCTACACGCCAAGAGTCAATCACTAATATTTACATATATTTGAGGCACTGTGGCTCTTCGCGGCCTTGCTGCTTTTATTAAGGCGTCCTACCCCATTTTGTTCCACCATCCATGCACACAACCTCGCCAGACAAGTGGCTTGCTGTCTTCCCCTTTTAAACTTATTTTCATTGTTCGTCATGAAGGTCAGGTTTTCCAAGCACTTCTTCATCATAATGTGTCCAAGGAATTTCTGCTGTATTTTCCTGATTTTGTCTATAACTGTTCTTTTTCAAGTCGTTTTATTTTAGACATACTCCTTTCTTTATTGGTTCGTCCATGGAATTTTCATTATTGTTCTGTTGAACTATATTTTGTTGCTTCTAACTTTTTTTCCTTATTCGTACGGGTAATCTTAAACATTCACCGCCGTATAAGACGATGGATGAGACATAACAAGCCAAAATACTTTTATTAGCTTTTGTAGACACCTTACGCCAGTACAATGCGTGTTCTGTTATCGATATCGCATTTTCCGTCCTCTGTTAAAACGATTGCCAGATATTTGATCTTCTCTACAAGCTTGATATTTATGTCTCCATTTGTTAACTGGCATTTCGGGCTTTTACTTTTACTAATAGTAACATATTCTCTCATCTACAATAATACCCTTTTTATTTCTATATTTTATTCACTTTATATTCTATCCCTTCGGAGGCGGTTTTCCTCTCATTATATGTTACGGATAATTCTAACATCTGATCACAATATATTCTTGTGCCTAATTTCTCAAATACAAAGTGAGACAGAAAGGTTTCCTCGATTTCAAGGGTGAGTAAAAAACAAACACATGATCATAAGAGGTAAAAAAAAAACTTTGTTCTCCATTTCAATCCATGATGGGGTATTACTTGAAACAGAAAATAAATGGCATTTAATATACTTCATAGAGATAGGAAGCTTTTATTATTTTATCTTCATATGTTTGTTTTTTGTTAACCTTTGAAATCAAGGCAACATTTCTACCCAACCTATACAATTTGGGTAATCTATAAAATATTAGAGCTCGCTCTCTCTCTCTCTTTCTCGCCTCTCTCTCTCTCTTTCTCGCCTCTCTCTCTCTCGCCTCTCTCTCTTTCTCACCTCTCTCTCTCTCTTTCTCGCCTCTCTCTCTCTCGCCTCTCTCTCTTTCTCACCTCTCTCTCTCTTTCTTGCCTCTCTCTCTTTCTCACCTCTCTCTCTCGCCCTCTCTCTCTTTCTCCTCTCTCTCTCTCTCTTCTCTCTTTCTCTCTTTCTCCCTCTCTCTCTCTTTCTCCTCTCTCTCTCTTTCTCACCTCTCTCTCTTTTCCTCTCTTTCTCTCTTTCTCGCCTCTCTCTCTTTCTCACCTCTCTCTCTCTCTTTCTCACCTCTCTCTCTTTTTCTCTCTCTCTCTCTTTCTCGCCTCTCTCTCTTTCTCACCACTCTCTCTCTCTCTCTCTCTGAGTATGGAAATACTGGTTTTGGTAACCTTGACATAGATTTACTTTTCTTATCATATTTTCCCTGCAATTCTTCTTCACGCTCTATTCATCAGGAATGACATTATCAGTTTCGGGGCCTTGACTATTAAGCTGATTGACAGATGTAGTTCGTATGCGTTAACACCTGATGTCTTAGGTAATTTGAAAACGTTTCCTAGATAGTTGTACTCGCATTTTGGGCCTTTTCTCTCGTTGATGACCGCAATATCTTTCTTCATGCAATTGCTGAATAGTATTCTTTTTCACTCTTTCTTCTTCCGCACATTTCAGGAAGTATGTTAGTTTCTTATCCGTGTCGGTGATCATTGCGTATTTTATATTGTTAAGATTACACCCACCAATAATGCATTCTGGCAGGGTTTCCTGATCGCATCCGATGGTGTTGCTGTACATGATGAAAATATCTGGAAAGATGTTTCACGGCGCTTTTTTGTTTGTTACGATCTAGATTGAAGAAAAACATGTCAGACTAGATTCGTAAACTAACGCGGTCTTCTGATAAAAAAGCCAACTTTATTTGGTGAATCTACATAAATTTTTTATGGTCCAGCAGCAAAGATTTCACGTTTCAGGAATGTTCATAATAGTATATTTGCAGATTGATTAAACTTTTGAAAAAAAGACATTGATGTATCGTTTGCAAAAAAAAAAAAAAACAGCGTTGAAATACACAATAAACTATTTCAAATTTCAGTTTTTCTGTTGGGAATATCCTCATCGCCAGGGACTCACTCCCTTATAACCATGCCGCTGCTTTTTGAGAGGGATTCATGTATTTAGAGTACGAGTTTGTCCATCTAAAACATAGATCATTTCAGAGGTAAAGAAGCTCATCTTTTTGGATACAACTCTCATTCTAAGATAAAACTGAGAAATCATGAAAGCCTATCAGATACTTATTGCCTCACTATTTACATTCTTACAACTAAATATGAATATAAAGTTCATTTCTGAAATCGGAAAAGGACGAATTATCCAGAATTTGTGTGTAATTTTTTTGGGGGGTGGGGCATTTTGCTCTATGTTTGAAGAATTTGGGCTATCCTGGAAAAAATCAATGTAAAATTTTACTCGATTCTTTCTGGAAGATCGTCAAATGAAACGTTGTACTGTGCATAATATAAGTTTGGTGATAATTAAATCGTTATTTTAAAAAAAAAAACAAAAAAAACTATGTATGGAATTATGTTTAGTATTTTCGCTAGTTTCTGTAATTTTGATATTTTTCAGCGTCCTCTATCCTGAACAAATTATTAAATCAGTGTTAAATATTGTAAACTACTGTTTTATGCTTTCTAAAAAACTAAAATAAAGACGTTAAAGTATTTAAGAAATATATAGTATTTTCAAAGAAAAAAAAACTTACCACGCCGTGAAATAATTGTATGCTTATGTAGCAAATAAACTGACCCTAAAGAAGACTCTGCAGTCAAAACAAAACACTGACATGAAATTACCTTTCAACCTCAAATAATTATTGCAATATTTAAAAAATTGTTTAATTTTCATTTAATATTTTTCTATGAATAGAAATGCAGTGCAAATATATGTATATCTGTAATAAAGCTTTTTTATATGCCATAGGATAAGAAATCATTTTTTTTTTGTTTGATTATTACTTTATTTCCAAATGGTAATATTTAAAATGATGAAAAACAGATTCTGCATATAGCAATAACTCCATTATTTAATGATCATATATGCATTAAATATCTAATGGAAAATTAATCAATTCACACGAGAAAAATATAGATGTAAGGTTTTACGGATAAAAGTGCTCAATATCAATGATGTAAATATAAAAAGTCAACACCAAGTGATACATATATATATATATATATATATATATATATATATATATATATATATATATATATATATATATATATATATATATATATATGTGTGTGTGTGTGTGTATATATATATATATATACATACATATATATATATATATATATATATATACATATATACATATATCTATATACACATATATACAGATAAATACATATATATATATATATATATATATATAGATGTAGATAGATAGATAGATAGATAGATAGATAGATAGATAGATAGATAGATAGATAGATAGATAGAAATTTCAAAAGCATTTCATTCAATACCATTTGTACGGAGGATGTTACAAGAATTGAAAGAGCATGAGAATATTTTAGCGATGAGATGTGTGGAAAATGTCAATAATGAACGAAATTTAGGAAGATATGATATAACGATAACCATTGCAATTTAATGTTTAATAATTGTAGATGACAGTTAAGCAAAAAACTGGAAAGGATTTCCGTAGGCGAAAGGGCGAGTAAAAAAGAAAAAAAAGCCTTAAAATTAGAACTGATTGTTGTCTCTAGCTTGTTCAACATTAAGATAGTGAGACCCAATCTAGTAGAATTCTAAAACTCGTGTAGACGATGCACAAAGGGGAACCGCTGATCAGAACAATTGTCATAAAAATATTTCTGGGAAAGACAGATAGCATCAATGTCACGTTGACGAAGAAGTGACTCATTTCTATATGCACTGTTAGGATTGATTAATTTAGAGACCGTTCTTTGAATATTGAGATTATTAGAAGGATTACAAGAAAAGAGAGTAGTACCCAATGCACGGATGAAAGGCAAATTTATAAATATACATCGTGAGAATAACTGCTTTCCTGGACACAGCGAAACAACTTTACAGATATTAAATCTAGCAAGCGATTCATTTTAACTACATTGCTTCATGCCAGTGAAATATGCGAGCCGAAACTCAAAGTATTGCTCTTCTAAAATTTTGCATCGAGCATGCTAATGACAGACAGAAAAGCTTCTCTTGTGAGTAAATGAAAGCAGTTTTGTTTTGGAAGAGTTCAAATTTATGTTATTACATTCGACAATAATCCACAGATTGCATGTCATTAACGGGTGGAGTTGCCGGTTCGACTTCGTCGGATCTGTCGGACTTGCTACTAAGAAAAAAGTAAACTCAGCAAAAGGAACTGATGACATCTTTAAGATCGTTCATGAAGATCAAAAACAGCCTCGATTAGAAGATAAAGCCTTGTGGAACCTCGAAAATAATACGATATGAGCTAGAAGCGTGTCCAATCAACATGAGCTTCATTTCATTCATTTTCTTACAAATGATTGAATTTGGCTAAACATTTGCCTATAGATTCCAGAGCTCCTGAGACTTTGAAGACGTGTTTAGATAGAGGGCCTTCTCTGTAGTATCAGAAATACTATCTAGCAGTAAGCTGTCCCATGAGAAATCGAAACGATAAAAGAAGAATAGATAACTGACTGAGTTTACGACTAGAAATTGGAAGCCCATATTAGAATAATCAAGTGTCTCAAGAGGCAGCTCGCTTTCCAGTGAAATATGCACGCGAACATAAATGCCGAGTCCATGAATTTGGAGACTAGAGTCCTTTCGGAAGAGACGGAGATACCCAGGAACAGTGAATTCAACGGAAGACATTAAAGGCTTCAGTTTAGATACATAGAGTACTAGGGTGTCCTAGCACGTTCAAAGAGAAATGATTCTTTACTGTAAAAGTTGGTATGAAAATTGATAATTATGATGATATATTCACTTAGATAAGATACATTGTCAATAAGTTTCGGAAAGAGATGTTGTCGCCAAGATCGATAAAAGTGTTATACAAATGTCATTTAATTCCGTCACAATTTACATTCATTTTTACTTAATTACTGAATATTATATCGTATGAATAATATGCAAATTTAATGGTCACGTGTGTTAAATACATATTAATACTCATGAAGTGACTGGCATAAGATAAACACGATTGATATTCAGTTGGAATTGTTATACTCTTTAACTTTGAATTAACAAAAGTTGACTTAACCAGACTTGAATTTCCTTAGAGGCGTGTTTCATATGCGTTGTAGAATATGTTACCACAATTTTATGTTTGTTTTCATAAGCAGTACATTAAATTCGAAACTAGATAATACGTTTATTACATTGTAAGTCTCAGTGCAAACGATATGAAGTACTTATATCGAAATAATTTAATTTAAATCTAAATGGGTTTCGGAATTTAAATCTAAATTGTGTGATTTTCTAACATTTTTAGATGCGGAACAAGCCGGAAGTATGGGGTACTCACTGCGTATCGAACTTACTATTCAGTCGTAATTTTTCTAGCGATACAATTTTGCTAGCCATTACACAAGTTCGAAGTGACACTTTTATTTTTAAGCGTCGTTTAAATGTGCCACAAGGCCGGAATATAGAGTACACAGTGAGAATCGAACTCACTACTCAGTCGTAATTGAGCTAGCAAGACAAGGAGGATAACCATTATACCCGCCGAGATACCCAAATGGAAATTGTATATATGAGTAGTGCAAGACGATGTTGAAAAACAGAATTGGCAAGACGAATTAAATTTCATTGATTAAAGCCTGTTTCCACCATCGCCTCAAGAACAACTAGTGATTTAAATAGAAAGGTAATCTAACCCGACTCAATTTGAGTGTTAACCAATTAAACAATTTGGAAGAGGAACTATTCTGAATTTAATATTACGGTGAAGGTGACTTAAATCATTATATTATCCTTCCCAAATAGGCATGGCAATGCGCGGATAAGACAGAAGTAGAATCTGCAGTTAATCATAATTGCCTACGGCCTGAAAACACATGGTATACAAAAATGAAATTCTTCTTTGATGTCATTGAATACTGTATGATAACCGATCTTTATATGAAAGCTGTTCTTTATATAAAATCATCCTTATATGATTATTTATTGGATCCCTTACTATTAAATGTTTTTTTTCTGATTCTATTTTGAATTACTACCCTTCGTTAGCGTGAGTTACAAAATGAACAGAATAATATGCATTACTGAAAATATATATTTTCCTTTTAGTTGAAACTTTAAATTTGCCATATGTTATGTCACGAAATAATCTACTACAGCCAG